GGGATTGCTAACTATAAAATCTCTAGGGCCAATTTCTTTATTGAAATAAGTCGAGGGGTACTTCTTTAAACTTTTTGGTCGTCGAGACAACATTTATGCCATTTCTGATTCCTTTCGTGATAGCATATGGGAAGGTAGACAGTTAGTTGGGTGGATGTGGGTAGGTATATGAATTATTCGTTTTTGGTAAAGCAAATGACATTCACAAGCTTAACTTAACTTTGTACGATGTTTAATTTTAGGCATCAATCAGTCGGTCCATTAAATAATTTTATATGTGGCTTCATTTTCTCCCTATCTTTTTCACAATTTTATTGATATTCAAATGCAGGAGGGTTTTTTCTTAAATTTTATTTTCTTCTTTTCAAGGTCGAAACTAGTAAAAAATAACGAATCCCATGTTATAAAGATAATCAATAACCTCAATTCAAATTTTGACGGCATAATAGATCTCGACCCTCACTTCTTTAATGGTGAATTGATACGTTAAATGGACATGACAATTAATAGAATGTGAATTGAATATTTTCTTGAATCTCTTTTATTTTTTATCTAACGAATCAAATATGTTGAATAAAATTTTGATGCATATCAATAAATTATTAACAAGTAAAATTTTAAAAGTTGATAATTGGTATTGTTTGTCAACTCTCCATTAAAATATATTAAAAGATAACCCATTTTGCAGGGAGTTAACCAATTTAAAGTCAAGAAAAACAGGCACACATCAAATCTATAGTTAGTAAAAACCTCAATTATTGAACGAGTGTTATAATTATTAGATTTCTTCAATAAATTTACAATCATTTTTTTTTTTTTTTACATATTTGTAACTATATAGTAAATAATTAATTAGATAGACGTGCACAAACTAATATTTGAAGTGTTTTTTGTCACTATAGTATATTAAAATTCAATTTATACTGTTTAAGCTTATTTAATATTTCATACCAAATTTCTTAAATATATTGAATAAATAAACACCATATATTATTTATAAAACTAATATTGTATGGTAGTATTTGACCTTATACAGGGAAAGTACAAATTAGGCCCAAATATCAAAGCAATTGCAAGATAGGCCCAAATAAAAGTTTCGACCCAGATAGGCCCATTTGTTAACTGACTTTTAATCACTTAGCACATCTTCCACGAACTCAAGCCCGTACAGTTGTGAGAATTGCAGATTTGCTTTCCGTCCAATATGTCAACGATAAACATTTATTTATGAGAAAATTAAACCAAATCATGTCTTTTAATTCCCTTCTCCCAAATCAGGTTATGTATTTTTTCAAAAATAAGTTATTTATTATAAAAAGTAATTAATTCAATAAATTTAGTACTAATATTTAAGTTCATATTTTTAAGAACCCTGATAATTGAAATGAAATTATCTAAAATTTAATTTTTAAATTCAATTTCATCTAATTTCTACTAATCTTATTGTCTTTACTGTGACGTGGACAAATGATTAATCATTCCTATCTAAAATTTCTTTTCCATTTCACTTTTCTATGTCACGCGCGTATATTTTCTGACCTACATTTAGTTTGCTTTTTATATTTACGTCACATTTTCACAGCTCAATCAATAAGGAAGAGATAGAGGTCACATTTCACGTCTCATTTAGTTACATAATACCGGTTACATTTCAATTGTTAGTGAGAACAAGACATACGTCACGATCGACCTATCTTTTACCTATTCGTCACAATTTTAATGGAGAATCAAGTCACAAAGATAGACATATAACATCACATATATAGAGGTGTAGACAATGATATCACAAATATAATGTACACAAATAGAGACATCGACGGGTGTATTAGATGGAGGTCATAAAAAACAAAGGGGATAACTCAACGAGTATCAAAAAGTCTAGCATGTCATTTCACTATTTAGATGGACAATCATATTAAAAGTCGCAATATAAATCAAATCGCTACTCATATTTCTCTATACTGGTCCCAACAAAATAAGAGAGCTAAACAATGTGAATCCAATCATAATATTACTACGCATTTTGTACTTTTTAATAAAAAGAATTAAAATTTTCTTCATATTACAATTCAATATTGCTACAAAAATGTAAATATAGTTTATATATGTTAATGCGTTTAATTATGACTAGTTATCTACTTTCATGGTCTCATTAAGATGACAGCTACAAATTATAATAAGATGACAGATACTAATATTGGCAATTAATATTTGGTGAAAATATTTAATACATAAGGTACAACAATACAATTCTTCTCCTCTTAGCCATGTAGAAATACACCTGCCCAAGTACAAATCATATAGTCACGTTTGATAAAGAAGGTTAGATAATACGAAATAATATTAAAAAAGAAAAACTAAACTGTTGTTAATTGTATTTTTCAATTTCGTTCAAATTTATTTCCAACTTTACTTATGGCATGATTATAAATGGAAGCAATGGCTCGATTATAATCGGTTTCCAAAATTACAAAAGGGATAAATGATTTCATCGCGAAATTTTATTGATTCCTAGTTCCTTTTGATTTCGAAGAGAATCAAATCGACTAGAACCATATCCATCCCTAAATCTACATGTTGCGAGTTTGATATAAAATGTATACACTTTTATAATTCATAAGTATACCCTCCGAATGTTGTATGTATTTAATAAGATAAATTAAATAACACTGATCAATATTAAAATTACGATAAAATTGGAGAAATGAGAAAAGCTAAAATAGTATTTGTCCTCATGGAATAGAGTGCGAGGGCCGACCGTGTTGTAGTCAAACAAGCTAGCGATCCTTTCGCCTACTGCAGCGCGGTCGTCACCATGGCCCCATGCAATTCCAATTTACTAAACTTTTCTTGCTTGTCTTCCATTGAAATCCTTTTCTTGGTAAGTTAACTATTATTTTTATCACTTTTCTTTTTCTTCACGCATTCTATCACTAATTCAGAATTAATTGTTTCAATGGACACTGAATTTAAGTACATATTTTCGATTGATTACTGAAGTTTAAAATATTGAGTTTTGGTCACTGAACTTAGGTCTATGTCTTCGATTGCTCACAAAAATTTAAAATTTCCAGTTTTAGCAACCGAACTTTGAAAAATGTTGACGTTACTCACTAGCGTAAATGTTGAACTTTAAAAAATGTCGAGTTTATAGTAAGTGACGTACAACATTTTTAAAGTTTAATGATCAAAACTCAACATTTTAAACTTTAGTGAGCAATCGAAAACGTATACCTAAGTTCAGAACTCGACATTTTAAACTTAAGTAACCAATCGAAAATATGTATCTAAGTTCAATGACCATTGGAACAATTAACCCCACTAACTCACCATCCCAATAAAAATTATTTCTTTATAAAATCCAATGCTCCCAACGTTCTATACACATATATAGCCTCTTTTGGATAATTATTATTTTCAATTTTTTATATGCTCATTTTTAATTACATATTCACACAATAAAATATTCTGTACGTAAATCAATTTTTTTATTTATTTTATTTTATTATTATTATTTTTTTTACTACACATTCTCCTAAAAACTAATATTCAAAACTTTAATTTTATTTTTTTCAAATAATGGTAGTCAAATATGGCCAAAGTAATCTCAATTATCTTTATTAAATAGTTGGAAAATTCAAAACCAAGAAAATATGCCACTCTCTTTTGCATTCACAAGCAAACATCCCATTCTTTTAATTTCTCTCGTACCGTTTTTCACCCTAAACCTGGAGTCTACCTATATTTGCAATAAAAAAATCTAGTCTAGATGCTGTATCTACTCTATGTAGCCGGATACTTAATATTCACATACGACCGAGCTCGACATACAGTCCAGCTCTTACAGACCCCTTACCCCAGGTCTCACATGGGGCCGACCCATGTGAGGAGTTTGTAAGATTCCTGTGAATATTTGCCTGTACATGGGGCTTTATTCATTAACATATAGTCATTGCTTCTCCTCCTAAAAAGGTAGTTCACGATGTGAATTCTCAGATTGTATATCGATAGCTTGCACTTGACAGTATAGTCCATGTTTGGTTCATTTAAAAAAATTGATTAAAATTAAATTGAAAGTTAATAATTAATTTTAACAACATACTTTATTGTATTCGCAACTTTTTATTAATTTTTATCAAAATCTACTAATAATTTATTTTTTATTTAAATAAAATAGGGACACAAACTCTATAGCTTGTGCTCAGAACTGATCTCCTGTCCATAGTGAACAAAGAATATATTACCCATCGACAATGTTACAACATTGTCTACTGGTGATGTTGCAACATATGGTGTTGTCACATCACCGGTATTTTAGACCTCACTGATAATGTGGCAACATCATCGATGGAAACTTATCTCCTGTCCATTATGGTCAGAAGATCAATTCAATATAAACTAAACTCATAACTTAGCTCCTATTTGACCCCATTTTTCAAAGATGAAAAAAGGGGGAATAGTGTTTTTTTTTTTTTTTAAATGAACGGCTGAAAAAGAAGGATTTTTTTATTTATTTATGTGTAATATTATTTTATAAAAGATTGTGTAATAGAAAATACGAGAGAAAAAAATAAAATGTAATTTAATGAGTACCAAACGGGGCTTTATTTGGTACCCTCAAGTGACAGGTTTCCCTTATTGAAGAACACGATGACATTTGTTAGTTGGCCTCAAAATTTGAACAATATAGGTACTACAGTGATCATTCACACAACGCATATGTATTTAGCAAAAAATTATGTGAAACTATCATGTACGTGGGTTTTGATAAACGAATTGGGGCCGTGACAGGGCGCCTGTATGGTGAGGGCGACCTATCACGGCCCTGCTACCGTAACAAAACCTTATGTATATATAAGCATAATTCTCAAAATTTAAGTGAAATCTGAATTTGTACAGACAATTAATGGCAGCTTTGAAGTTGGAAAATCATAGGTCTCCAGGTTAGCCCTGTTTCAGACCAACCCCCGACATTTGTGCCCACTTCTTCTATATATACGACATACACACAGCAAACACATATTTACGAAAGTTTACACACGAACGCAACCCCCTGGCCCACCCACGTCCATGACCTAAATCCTCCTTCCATTCAGTTCTCTTTCTGATTTGTTCTTTTCCGAAGTTTTACAAAATTTGTTGATTCTGTAAAGAAAAGTTTGATCAAGAGCATCTAAAACAATGAGCAATTTCGATTCACAAAGGCAAGAATCACTGAAAAGGCGTTGGCAGGAGCAGTCGATCAACCATTCAACTCCATCAAATTTCTATAACAAACTAAATAACACGGCTCCTTCGACAGTGCCCTTCATGGGAAACCCTAAAAATCTCCAAACTTTTTCAGGTTTCTTGGACGATGATCTTGTTTCGTCAGTGGTGCCACCGGTGACGGTGGTGTTGGAAGGCCGTTCGATCTGCCCGCGGATTAGTCTTCACAAACATGGAAGCTACGAAAGCCTGGCAAAGGCTTTGAGACAAATGTTTGTTGATGAGGATGCATCGTCGTCGTCTGATAATGATGTTGGTCTTGATCTTTCGAATGCTGTTCCTGGTCACCTCATTGCATATGAAGACATGGAAAATGATCTTCTTCTTGTTGGTGACCTGAACTGGAAGTAAGATAATCACTTATTTTGTAGTCCTTTTTGCTGCTGCTCTATTTTTTTTTTTTTGTGTGTGAGTGAGAGGAGAGGGAGCACAATCTTGAAATTATTTTCAAGATCTAATAATTATTTGCATCTGCAGGGATTTTGTTAGAGTGGCGAAAAGGATTCGAATCTTACCGGCAAAGGGTAGATCAAGAACACAGAAAAAGGAGGTGAATTAAATTAAACTGCTGCTGGTTGATCAGTTTTCAGTTCTATGAAATTTGAGAAAAAACTGGAAACCCTTTCTGAATTGAAAGGTCATTGAACTAATTGGGCGTGGAAACATTTGAATTATGGAACCATTGAAAATTATAAGTTGTATCCTGTAAACCAATGTTATCCAATTATCAGGAGTAAAATTAATTTTCCTTCTTATAATTTGTCTTTAATTAAGTCGTACTGTGCTTGATGAATGTAAATTATCTTTGGCTTTGGTTAATTAAACTCATTAGCTTATTTTCAAAAATCAGAGGGAAGGGATGGAAATTCAATTTATTAATCACACGGAATACAATTTGTTTACCCTAAAATTAACAAGAAATGCTTAAATTTTAATGCAACATGTTATTAACAACTGGACTTCCCTTGCAGTAAAACATATCCTCTGGTCTGCTGCATTTTTTTATATTTTCCTTCAATTATTTATCTACCACTTGAATCCAACAAAAATATATGATTTCACAAAATCATTAATTTGCTTAAAACATCAATATTGCCAGTAAATATTGTCTTTTCTGTTTTTTTACAGTGGATAAATAGTCATTTAATCCTTGATTTTGATAAAATGTTGTGGCGTTAAATGCTTGAGGCAGACTGAGAAATTATTTAAAGATTTAACCAATTCATTCTCCAGCAAGGCTAGAAATATTATAATTTACATTGCGAAAAAAAGGCCAAAATAACAATAATAATTAATTAAGTGGCCAAAAAGAAGAATGAAAAGATCAAATCCGTGCTCAGTCTTGGGAATTCAAAAATAATTTAATATTTATCGATATAATACAGCCACTGCTCTTCATTTTCTACACACTAAATATGTCCTATATATCCATGAAATTTAATTCTTAATCGATGTTTGAAAATAAAAATAAACTTTTGGAACATGTATATCATATGCTATTTGAAAATAATTAGGTAGACTTAAACAAAAGAGATGTAATAAAATTTGTTGTCATGTCCATTCTAATATACAAACATGCCATTTGCCACTTGCAAGTTACAAACATTATGCCAAAAATTTAACGATTTTGCTACTTGTATATAAAAATGGTACATAAGCAGTTATCGAAAATGATGTGAAGAGAAAAGATTTGATGAAAAGATTGACCGTATCTTAAACTGACAAACAATAAAGTGTTATATGGACATTATGTAATCCTTTACATAAATTTTGATATACTTGTAGTAAAATCCAAAATTTAATAATGTTAAAACAGCTTTTGGTTTATGGGTGGACAACTTCTGTTTGGTGAAATTATGGACCCATTTTGTGTAATTAATTAATTAATACTGGTTTTTTCATGTGCTTAATAAACCTAATTAAAGAAACAAACGAGATTGGTCCTTCCTATAATCTCTTTTTGCTTTAATAATCAATATACTTTTAATGACATTCGTGCATTATACGAGAATCTCAAGTCCTATCCTATTGCATTATAGATTCTATTTTTTTCTCTGTCCTTTTTTTTTTTTTCTTTTTTCTTTTATTCCCCTCTACCACGTATTGACTTTCACGATTATATAGAAAGGCAGATTAGAATTTGGAGGCAAGAAATCCTACAAGTACAATTTTAATGTAATTGTAGAAGTATATTTGATAGCTCATGCATGCATTAAATCACTCTAATATTCGTTTTCCATATATATGGTATTAGAGCAAATTGTTTTAAAACAAAAACTATGAATCTAACTTATGTTGAGACTCATTTTATAAATCATTTTCCATAGAATTTTTTTCTTTGTCCTTTCTTTTTTTTTTCTTTTGTTCGCCTCAACCACGGATTGACTTTCGCGATTATATAGAAAGCCGGGTTTGAATTTAGAGGCAAGAAACCCTACAAGGTACAATTTAACGTAACTGTAAAAGTATATTTGACAGCTCATACAAGCATTAAATCACTCTAATATTCGTTTTCCATATAAATAGCATTACAGCAAATTTCTTTTAAACAAAAACTGTGAATCTAACTTATGTTATACTCATTTTATAAACTGTTTAAAAACACTCGAATCACTTTTATCCACACATTTCAAGGAACTCATAAGTAATACTCAAATTATTCAACACTCATTTTATTTATAAATACTTCCTATAAATGCTTTTAGGTAACTATGTTTTTTGTATATAGGAAAATCCTATAACAACAATAGAACGTAACTTTTACATTAAGAGGGAATCACTATAAGTTGTGCAATTTTGCATTGCTTTAATTTTTTTTTGAATCATAGAACTCATAACATTTTCTTAAATTCAAAGCCGAAGTAGAGAATTAACTTCACACAGTATCTAGCATGCCCACGGATTTGATAATTTTGCCTTCAGCTATGGAACTCAAAGCAAATCCAACTGCTAGCCAACGTGCAATAAAGCAGCATTTAGCGTACCGGATACATTTAAGATATGGAAAAAGGACAATCACTAATAGCACGTATGGTTTACATCGTTTTCATGGTGCATTAAAACAATGTCACTTTGTCAAAACGTAGATTTTCGTATCACAAGAAGTTAACAAAAATTCAATGCGATCCCATCAAAATACTTGTCAAAATTCACAAAATTGTTTATCAACATATATAAAACGTCCATGGATCATGACTATATACGTACGTCACATGTGCGTGAAAAGTATTACAAATGAAATATGCTACTTGTACATACTGTGATGTCCATAACGGTATTCATCCCCTCACATTGAAAGGGACCTACTTTGAATAAATTATATTTTATTCAAAGTGGATCTCCCTCCATGAAAAGGGTGGAGGGGATGAACACCGTTATAAACACTCTAATGTATGTGTAGCATCTTTCTTTACAAATATGATATTGAGACATCCCACATCAATGCAACCACTTGCACACTC